AGATGAAGACAAACATTAATGACGGCCAATTCTCACAATACAACTTTCAAGGGAAATCAGTAGTTTAGAGCCTTACTCCCAGCACTGGAGATGGAGCCTTACGTGAAAACCCTCCCTTTTCTGACGAAGAGTCCTGGTGTGGACTCGGGTGGGCAGAGCCTATTCATGATTCTGAGTCTGAGCTGAATCCTAGCCAGGGAGCAAAAGGAGCAGAGCATCTGGCCTTGGGCAGAGAGGGGAGTCTGAGGACCCTGGCAGGGAGAGCAGTAAGCTTCCCAGAAGAGCCATCAGTGGGCACGAGGGGACCCAGCGAGCGATTCTGCATCGCGCCCACCTGGACCCAAGCATTCCTCTAGGCGCCAGTGTCTCACCTCTGACTCTGATACCTGGCACTTCCTGGGGCACTGCTGTGGCATTATTTCACAGGGCCATGTATGACTCTGAAGTTTTACGGGCCTCTCAGTTTAAAACATTTTTGAAACTAAAATTTTAGAACAAAATACTGAGGAATGTTAGTGAACACCGAGTCGTTCTTGCTGTGATACAAACAGGGTAGACTAGCACACAGTCCTAACGCTCCCTTCTGTGGACCCAAGTCTTTAAAACGGGGGCCAAGCAGCACCTTTTGTGCCAAAGTGGCAGGAAGGCGGAAAGTGACAGTGGATCAGAAGGGGATTTTGAGAAGTGCTGAGGACAGAGGAATTCAAGTGAGCAACTCGCCACCGACCGAGGAGGAGGACGAGGAGGAAGTGTCACTGGAGAGGGGAATTCACAGCAAGAATCTGTCTCCCTGACCAAGACTGCTCAGGCTACTAGCCACTCTGCAATGACAGGAGTCACTGACCCTCTAGCTCCCCGGTACCCTCGCGAGCGTGGAAACCGGATGCGTTTCCCCGTTGCCACATCTCTGCGCTCTAGCAACCACTTTCATCTCAAACACACAAACATGCTCAGGCGCTTCACACACCAGGGCCTCCTGGGCTGGAGCTCACTTGCCAGCGGGACCCTCGTCTTTCTAAAGAGGGGCTTCCTCCCATCCAGCAGCCAAGATGCATCAAGTTCTAGAAAGTTCTGTGGCTCTGCTCCCATGGCTGCTGCCAGGGTGAGTTCATGCGCGTTCCCTCCCCCTTCCCCCCAATACAGGAAGCCTGGATCGCCAGGGGTCCTAACAGCTCCTTTACCCGTTTCTCCAGCTCCTTAGGGACGTTTGTGCTGGCAAACCTCTGATGGACGGAATGAACCAGAAGGGGTCTCTGTACGTCTCAGAACCCAGACACAGGAATGCCAAGGTGTCACTATTGGAAAATAAGACAAAGGGCTGGAGCGGGTAAGGAAAGCAAATGAAACAGATGCCACCAAACGGGGGCTCTGACAGGGTCTAACCTCTCCGCAGCCATAGGGAGGGTCAACAGAGACCCATCACAGGCTGCACAACTCAAGACTCGGCGAGAGAGGGTAAGAGCAGCAGCACCGAGAGGCAGGCGGTGTAAGACAGACCTTAAAAGGCTCCCTACGGCCACGGTTTTCCTTGGCCTCCAGCCCCGCCTCACCTCTGCATCCAGAACCAGGCTCTCTGCACACACACCTTCCAGGACGAAGAGTGCCCTCTCATCACATGGGGTGTCAGTCACAGAGCATGGCTGTGACCCAGGCCAGCCTTTCCCTGACAAACAGACAAAGCAGCCCACACCAAGCCCGGGGTGCAGGGGTGGGGGGTGGGGGGAGGCGGAGACCGGAGGTGCTGAATCTGACACGACTGCCTGATGGTCCCCTAAGCAGGAGGTGAAGAGGGAGTCCCTTGGTCAGGACAGAGTGACCAGGGCAGGGCCTGAGGGAGTGGGCGCAGCTGTTTCAAAAGCTTTAACAGCTTTTGTACTTCAGGACGCTCTTACATGGACAGGAAAAGTGGGCTCCCGCCAACAGTCAACAGCCGTTCTGCGATCACAGCAAGAAAACTCTTCTCGGCAAACCCTGAAACTAAGGCAGATCCAAGGAACAAAAAGCTTGGCCTGGATACCACGCAACAAAAAGCCAAGAATACGTCCCTGTACTTTTGAGCGCCAACCTCCTCCCTTCATTTCAGCTTGGTCAACTTCCGCTAATCACTCTTAGGAGCACCGATCTTGTTACGGGCCAAGATGAGGATGCAGGATGCAGATGCTCATGTCTAGCAAGCAAGTTCCCCCACTGGGAAGCTAAAGGTCTAATAGGCTCAAGACAGACCACGATTCATTCCACAAACACTCCCCCTCACAAGACCGATGGAGGAGTCCCCGGAAATGAAGATACTACCAGCTGTCTGTATTCTTCTTCCAGCACTTTCTCTAGGGCTGGGAAGCATTAAGCGGGATGACAAACTTCGGGGACTTCAGTCTTAACCTAGTGACATTCATTCTGGCAAGACCAACAACCCTAGCAGAAGTGCTACAAGTCATTCCCTATTTACAGAAAAGGGCTCTCTTCAACTGACCTAAGCTATATACAGACACAAAATGATGCACTCTATGGATTCTATTAAGTTGGCAACAGAGAGAAGGGGGGGGAACACCCCCCCCACAGACTCAAAAAATTCCAAACTACCAGGACTCAACATTGGCCGGGGGGGGGGGGGGGGGTGTTGGGGGGTGTTGTCAGAGTACGGCCTCCCAACACCACCTAAAACTGCTTATGCCCTGAACAGAAGAGGTAAGAAGGCTGTCCAAACAACGCCAATTCCATTGCTGAGTTATCAGCAACATCTTCAGAATAAATAAATTGAAAAAGAAAAGAGGCAGAGGGATGGGTGTTGGAACACTTTATGATTGAAACCTAATCTCACAATGATTCAATAAAAATTCTATGGAAGGAAGGGAGGAAGGGAGAAGGAGAGGAGAGGGGAGGGGAGGAGAGGGGAGGGGAGGGGGAACCCATGCCAATTTGAAAAATTCAAGATCCTAATACCCAAGGTAAGGAAGGGTCTCAAAGGAAAAGCATTTCTTCTGAAGAAATAAGACCAACTTGGGGCTCTGATATGGATACTGAGTTTTCTGCGCCTGCCTTTGTAACTGTGTACACTTCAGCATGGCAGCCTTCCTAGGGACAGTCCCTTATTTGGCCCCCAGGTTAAGGAGGAAATTAAGAGGAAAAAAAAAATTCTACCAAGCACTCTAAAAGCTGTCAGAGATCATGTGAGTTTTACATGAACTGCTTTTTTATCTACACACCCAGCCCACGGAGGACCCTCATGGAGATGCAGAGACATGATGCCACCTGGTCGTTTCTACAATCAACTGTGGACCCTCAAGCCCATCATAAGGAAACTGGTTTAGGGAATATCCAGAAAAAAAGAGAAAGAGAACTGAAGTCATTGGGACTGAGTTTTGATTCAAAAGCTACAAAAGTATCTTTAAAAGTAACAACTTCCCCTAAAGAATACAAGCATAATAAAACCATGCAATTACAAAAGTATCAGAGATCACAGAAAACAAAGGCCAAAGAAAGTAGATACACAATTAGGTCCCTTCAACCTGTCCCGAACAAGGACAGAGCTAGGTGCTCACAGACACAGAACAACAAGCCAACCTTTTTTTTCTCGACTATCTTTTGTCCTCTGCTGGACAAAGGAGGAAAATCAGCTTACAGAAAAGACTCCCATCCAAAAAAAACTGCAACTGGGTCCCCCATCCCCAGAGGGCCATACACAAACCTGTAACAGGCCCCCCAGAAGACACACTACTGAACTCAGAAGGGCTTATTCATGGTAGCTCTTACGCTATTCTTTCCACAGCAAGGCTCTGAGGTTCCCCCGATGGCAAAGCACAAGCTCTGAGTCCTGATATCAATGGCCAGTGGTCACTGAAACGTCCTCAAGTTCTCTGGGTCATTTTAAGCAGAAATCTATAGAGGCCATGTATAAATGACAAGTCTGGAGAACGGGGTGGGGGTCGGATCAGAATGTGGCAACATCTCAAGACAGAAATGTTCCCTCTGAAAACTATCTCAACTTTATCATTAGCTCACCAAGAAAGATAAGCCAAGACAAAAGACGTGACATTCCCCCCGCCCCCCCCCCCACTTCAACTATCTGGACCCATCACGTAAGTTAAGACCCACTAAGGAAGGTATCTGGCTACTAAAGGTGTCAGCGAGTGACCAACATAAACCTAGAGAGTTAGTGGAATGTATGTGACCACCCCACTGGGCACTGCTGACCCTCAGGGGCTGTTTCCCCCACTACAGCAACATCCTTAAATTTGGTCCCCAAATCTGCAGATCATCCACAATGTTCATTTTTCTCCCCCATCATCTGTCAACAACACAATCATGACAAACGTGTATGACATCTGATCTGGTGGTTGGTCCGGTATGGTTCACTTACAACTTCAAAGTGGGCGGGGGGTGGGGGGGAAGGAAAAAAATAAAAAAGTGTGTGTGACGGGGGTGCGAAGAACACGGAAGAGAAAAGACCTTTCCCCAGCATCCCTTATACCGGTGGTACAAGAGTTAACTACAGGAGAACACTCGTCTCTCTTCATTTGGCAACCAGATCCACAGGCTAACGAGATGAGCCTGGCAAACTAACGTGTCCTGAAACTAGGATCCCGCAAGCACATTAGATTTTTCAGTACAAAAGTGAATGTCTACTAAGTCCTTTTTGTAAAAATTGTGGTCAACATCACAGAAACAGGAAGGACTCGGAAGGGAGCGAGTGCTCTACCTCTGGATAGAAAAAAAAAAAGGCTCCCAAGGTTTGGCAGTGCAGCCAGGACCCCTGACCCCTGACCTGGGGCATCTCTGTATATGCTCTGCTGTCAGCATTCCCCGACCATCTCTGATCGCTCCTTACTTTGGTATGGAAAAAAATTTTTTTAAAAACCACATTTGCACAACTCAAGTCTGTGAAACAAGTCTTGCTTCATTTCGGTGGAAAAGTGACTTTCACTCATCTCTGGGAAAATAAAGTCTTGCAAATAGATGATTTTTTTTTTTAATTTGTCCTAAGTAAAACCTGGCTAAATACCTACAGCGTAAACAATGCCTGAGAGATGCAACAGTCAGAGAAGTTTGTTGTCGCTGTGTTCCAAAGACCAGTCCATCTTTAAGTTAGGGCCTCAGTTGTCCAGAGCTCAAAGGGAGAAATACACGAACATGAAGATGCCCAGGGAGCACACGGCGAAGAGCCCCACGTTCAGGACCAGTCTGACGGTCGGGGGCTCCTCCAGCATCTGTAAACAGGCCGCCTCCTCATCCATCAGGTCCCTCAGGCTCCTCTTGCTCATGCTCTTACTCTTAAAGCCACAGAACCAGTCTATGAACTTCCAGTAGCGGCTGCCCTGCTCGGGCTCCTTCTTCCTCTCCTTCTCTCCCATGAGCGCTGCCTGCCCGTTGGAGTAGGCGTCCACGGGCGTCTCGGCCTCCGAGTGGCCAGCGGACGCTGCGGCCGCGGCAGCCGCGGGGTTGCCTTCCTCCCGGCAGGCCACCAGGAGGTTCACATCCTCAGGCTGCAGGCCCTTGAGGCTCTCCTCCGACTTGCCGTTGGGCATAGTGGGGCTGCCGGCCTCGCCGCCCACCTCTCCACCCCGGAGGATGCTCTTCTCCTGCATCTTATAGGGCTCGTCTTGGACGGCACGGCTCTCCTTGGTGGCCGCCGCACCCTTCCTGGACCAGAAGGTGGTGGTGCGCGTCTGCTCCTTGGTGGGGGGTGGCGTGAGCAGGCTGACGATCACCGTGATGAGGCCCGTGACCCAGAAGAGGGCCGTGGCCACGTACATGTAGTGGACGTCCTTGATGAAGGCGGGCCGGTCGTCGGGCTGGTCGCACTCAGGGGCCCGGTAGATGAAGGCCAGTGTCAGGCGCACGGCCCCGAGCACAAAGCCCGCCATGCCCCCGTAGAAGGCCCCCTGCTCATTGCAGCGCTTCCAGAAGATGGCCAGCAGGAAGAGGGCGGCCACGGGGGGCGTCAGGTAATCAGCCACCTCCTGGATGTACAGGTACATCTGGCCACCCTGCATCTCCACAATGATGGGCACCCAGGCAATGCTGATGACCACCATGAAGACCACGAAGATGCGGCCCACGATCATGAGCTCCCGGGAGCTGGCGCTCTTGCGCACCAGCTTGTACACGTCGAGGGTGAAGATGGTGCTGGCGCTGTTGAAGATGGAGTCCAGGTCGCTCATCAGGGCAGCAATCATCACGGCCATCATCAGCCCCCGCAGGCCCACGGGCACCAGTTTCATCACCAGGCGCGGGTAGGCGATATTGGAGCAGCCTGCCCGGCTGCCGCACACCTGCACGCAGTGCTCGGGGTTGATGCAGGCCAAGTCGTCCGTGAACAGGATCCTGGAGATCATGCCCGGGACGACAATGATGAACATGGGCAGCAGCTTCAGGAAGCCGGCCATGAGCGTGGAGCCCTTGGCGTGGGCAATGTTCTTGGCTGCCAGCACCCGCTGCACGATGACCTGGTCGGCGCACCAGTACCACACGGATGCCGGGGTCTGGCCCAGCACAAAGCCGGGCCAGGGCACGTCCTCATCGGTGGGGTCACGCAGCATCTTCAGCGCATCCTTCTTGGGGTGCACATTGCAGGAGTTGGTGTTGGAGAGGTTGTACGCCAGCAAGATGCGCGTGACGTTGGGGGAGGCCAGCATGTAGCGCCTCTTCACTTCCTCAAACCCGCCGACCTCCATCATGCTGATGACCATCAGCGTGAGCGCCCCGATGATCATGAGCAGGGCCTGCAGCGTGTCCGTGTAGATGACGGCCACCAGGCCACCAGTGACCGTCAGCAGGGCGGTCATCCCAATGAGCAGGATGACGGACACGTACAGGTTCCAACCCAGAGACTCCTGGATAAAGAGGGCCCCCGAGTACAGGTCCACGGAGAGCTTGGTGAAGATATAGAGAATCAGGGACAAGGCCGTGAAATAGACCTGAATTCTATGGCCACCGAATCGCTTGGACAAGTATTCGGGCATGGTGTAGACGCCCGACCGGATGTAAATGGGGATGAAGACCCAGCCCAGGAGTTGCAAGAGTAGCAAGGCATTGAACTCCCAGGCGCCCACCGCGAATCCGCTGGCCGCTCCAGATCCAGCCAGCCCAATGAAGTGCTCACTCCCAATATTGCTCACAAACAGAGAGGCACCGATCGCCACCCAGGTCATCGAGCGCCCCGCCAGGAAGTAGCCGCTCACGGTGCTCCTATTAGATTTCCACATGGCAAAGAAACCAATGCCCATGACCAGGATGAAGTACAGGGCCACTATGGCAATGTCTGCTGTCTCCAGGACAGCCCTCATGCTTGGTGACTCTGCACACGAGCGTCCAGTGACAGAAGAGTCCGACTTTAGTTACTCATTCGTCACCCCAGCCCAGGCTGGGACGCGTAGGGGACTGAGCTACACAGAGCCAACACAGCAGGTCAAAGTCTTTGTCCTTTGGTTTGCTGTCTTGATGGTGGTGGTTGTGATAAACTCTGAAGGAGTTCAGTTTTAAATTTTCCTCCGCTTCTTAATGGGGCTCGAGAACTTAGCTCGTACTCTTACTCCACTCTCCACAAGACCATCAGCATTTACTCAGGTGCTGGAGGAGAAATTCTGAGTTGCCGCTAAGTCTAGTGAAGCCTACTGTACCAACCCTGCAAGGCAGCAAAGACAAAAGACAAAGATTGAATTAGAGGAGGGGCTTACCACGAGCTCAGGACACTTTCAGGCTAGCAAATCGGCGCAACAAAGACAAAATTTTCTTTTTCTTTTCTTTTTTTTTTTTTAAGAGGGTGGGGGAGGGTTGGGGAGGGTGCAAGGGAATGTTGAAAACATGCTTCGTTCCACAAGCCATACTGTCAGGACTGAAACTTAAAGTCAGTGAGAACATTTACCGTTAGGCGCGAAGGAGGAAAAAATGTATCCACCTCTTACTGAAGAAGCCTCACTGCTCTGAAAACTAAAGGCCGTGGCATTGTGTGCAGGCCATTGGGCTCACCTCAGCACAGAACAGGCAATCTGCAAGCACTTCCAGAAGGGGTGAACACTGATTACTGATTATTAACAGGGGGGCCTCTTCAACTGCCAATTGCCAAGACCCACCCTCCCTCCCCCACCCAAGAGACAGGGTCCTAAATGAACAGACAGAGGAGGGGCAGTTCTGCCAGGTACCATCATGAACACCCCTCCCCCCATCCACACACACACAACCCAAAAGCCAGGTTACCACTTAATCCATGCAAATATACGGTTGGGAAATATCCCCAAATTTCAACTACCAATGTCTTTCTATGCTATCAGATAGTAACCTAGAAATCATAAGGCCCTGCCCTAAAGGGGTATTTGAACATTTGCTAGCCCCCCATCCCCTGTCCGTACCCCCAAAAACACAGGAGCATACAAGTTAGAACCAAGCCTAAAATTGCCTTTCTGCTACCAAAAGAAACTGGAAGGTTGTTTAGCATCTTTGATTTTTTTTTAAATAAAGTCAAAAGAAGTTAAGTTCCTTTCCTTTCTGTTCAATCGGAATTGTTTCCAAGCAAGTCTCTAAGAAAGATACTGAATTCCAAGTTTAATTTTTTTCTTTTTTAAAAAATGATGATTTTTTTTTTCAAATATGTTTCTTTTCGCTGCTTTCCTATTGATGAGAACAAAAAGCAAGAGAGGCAGGAAAGCAGAAATGTTTTCTGAAAGACTGGAAAACAATTTGATTATTATTGCACCTTTCCAGACCTCAGCATGAAAGACACTTGTCAACCATTAGATAGTGGATCATCTTCAATGACTCAATCATTGAGTTTGCAGTCCTGGATTAAGAAAATCACTGTGAAACAGACATTTAAATTTACCTAAAATCAAGTTTGGAAATTTGATGGCTTTTATCCTGCAAAAGGCAAATTCTAAAACCCCAGGTTAATTATAATTACAGTTGACAGATGAACAGGGAAACCACTGTTGTCAACCAAATGCCTTCTACCCATTAAATTCGAGCAAGGTTCTTTCTTCCTACACCTCAGGGAGAAGTGTACTTCGATGCTCAACAAAGATGTGTTTGACGGAATCTAGGCACTTTTCCTTTAAGAATAAGCAGCAAACTTGATTTTTATATTATATGAGATTAACACCTCTTTTCAGAGCTGTTCAAATCAGACCAAAGCACTACCTAAGAACTGAGAACACCCCAGGACAGGGCCTGGAGCGGCCAGCCTAGGTTATTAGGTTTACTTCATCAAACTGCATACACAGAAACGGTTTAATCTCACCTTTATTGCCTATGGACATAATAAAGTACTGTATGCTCTGTAGGCTACCAAGAAAACGGTCTCCTAAAATAGCGGCATAAAGAACGACGCCCCAAGGAGAGAATAAAAACACCCCAAGTGAGCCCTCAACGCCCACCCCCTTCAGAGCCATCCCAGTCCTGTGTGCATCTTCCCATCCCCCAAAATGGTCCCAGCTTTCACGGGTCCTTGGGCAGATATTACAGGGGAAGAGTCACCGCCGCCCCCCTCCATCCCCCCTCCCTGGTTTACTGAAACCAGGTACACATGACTAGCCCAGAGGACACCTGCAGGCCTGAGTGGACGGAGGAGTCAAGCCCCCATCCCAAGGGCAGCTGAGCTGGTCCCTGCCGTGGGTGGCACCCCTGGGGGCGAACCCTCCCCAGCCAAGATCATGGAGGCAGGGGGGCTCTTGTCAATGGCAGGGGTGAGCCAAGGAAACACACCAGGGAAGGGACACACACCCCAAAAGGGACACACACCCCGGAAGGGGCACAGGACACACACCCCGGAAGGGACACACACCTGGGGGCTTTGCCTTTGGAGGGGGAGGAGTCTGGGGGGGGTGGCCAGCATGGACAAGGGTTTTTGGGATATAGGGTAGGGGAGGGTTTGTGGAGTGCAGGCAGGGTGCAGGATGGATTATCTGCGGGGTAAAGGGTAAAGGAGAGTTTGCGGGGTACAAGTAGTAGTTTGTGGGGTGCTGGGTTCAGGAGAGTTTGCGGGGTACAGAAAGGAGGAGTTTGAGGGGTGCAGGGTGAAGAGTTTGTGGGGTACAGAAAGTTTGTGGGGTGCAGGGTGAAGGAGAGTTTGTGGGGTATAGGAAGGAGTTTGTGTGGTGCAGGAGAGTTTGTGGGGGAGAGGAAGGAGGAGTTTGTGGGGTGCAGGGTGCAGGAGAGTTTGTGGGATGCAGGAGGTTTTGGGGGATACAGGAGTCTGCAGGATACCTACTGGAGTGGCCTCCACAGCTGGGTTTCGGGGGAGAACCCAGTGTCCAGTACCAAAAGCAGTCTTCCCATCCTCAATCATGCGGGTTGTGATGTGCCAGGACGAGGGGCTCCCCAGAACCTACAGAAGTCACCGTTTCCGGCCCACCCACCCCATCCCAAGCCTGGGAGAAGTCCTACAGGCGTGCCAAACTCACCCCGAAAACGCAGCGGCCAGCATGCAATGATAGCTGGGAAAGGCGAAGAGAAATAAAGGCAACCCAAGGCCCCTTAGTTTGCAGAAGGGCGCCCCGAGCAGTAACTGACATCCCACTCGTGAGTGATGGGGGACTCCCAGGCCAGAATGAACCAGGAACACATGGGGTGGCCTCAGGCCTGGAGGGGTTAAGGCGCCAGGCCCGAAAGATCAAGATAAAAGCTGGCAGGAAAGTGGAAGGAAGTTTAGCAGATCTGGCTCCTCTTTTAAATGGAGAAAAGGTTTCTGCACAAAAACACAAAGAACAGCACCTCCCAGGGTTTCTTTTATTTCAAGGATGGGGGCAACACTGGGGGACCACCACGAGCCTCTTTATTTTTTCCCTCTTCAGCTGAAATGGCCTCTTTTCATAGGCCAACAAAGCTGCCGGCTTTACAAATCACGGACTCTCTCTCTGAAAAATGAGAAATAGAGGACAAGTAATAAAGCGGGGATGGAAGTGGCAAGGAAGTGGGCTGATTCCGTGGCGCGGCATTTGGAAGGAAACAATTCTCTCCCGCTCTGCAGCCTCTAACAGCTGGGTGTCCTACAAAGAAACGCTCCCCTAGTGGGGACCGGCGGGAACAGGCAGAGCACAGGGCTGGGCTTCTGATCTCCTGGCAGTAACAGGTGTTTTGGAGGGTCAAGCAGAGGTGCATGTGCCTCACACAGAAGCTCTTCTACCACTGATTCCCCCACCACCACCACCACCACCAAAGACGGAACCTTCCTTCTCAGAAAGTGGCATTTTACTGACAGCTTTGTATAAAATTAGAACACAACTCGGACGCTGTGTCATGTCCTCAGAAGAATTACAACCGAAGCACCAATCCAAAGAGAGATGTAAACATGCAACTAAGACAGAAAAAAGGATCAGACTAAATTTTAAACAGCCAGTAAATTCCTTCAGATACTATAACGGAAATATAATTAGTCACAATGGCCAAATCTAACATCTTCTATTAACTAAGCTGACCATGTAATTTAACTTCCAGACTAATAAATTATTCTAGGACAATCTACAAAATTCAAAACTTAAGTCTCTTTATGCTTCCCACCCCCCCCCAAAAAAAAACAAACAAAGGGACCCATCTTAAACATCCACTGGGGAACAAATTTTAAAAACTCCCTAAAGCAGCACATATATGCTGCCTGAACCCATTCTGCTTGTGCCCACATGACCGAGTACATGTGTCGCCCGAATCTCCCCTTTTGAGATGTGTTCTTTCATGCTTCTATACCTAATGCTGGGGTCTGTGCAGGGGCACTATCTGCCCTTGGAGAAGGTTTGCATTCTCTCAAGGGTGTGATTCTCTCTCAATTTCTCTCCCTCCTTCCCCTTCCTCAAAGCCTCCAAATAAATGTTATACTTAAAAAAAAAAAAATCCCTAAAGCTATCAGAGCCCCAAGTCCCACTGAATCCAACAAGGCTGCTGGTTCACAAAGGTTGAAGAAGAGGGCAGAGGTGACCACTGGCCCCCTTTACCGGTTCAGCAATCACTGGGGACCTGCTGGACCTTTCTGGAGGGCAGAAAGCAACACAGCTGCCCTGGAGGTTACACTACCCACAGGGTCATCCCAGCTCATGCCCTAGCCCGTCCCGAGGGGACTCTGCCATGTTGGGGAAACCCTGTCGTAACATGGACCAACATCGTGCTTTTGGCTCTGGAGTCACTGTTCAGGCCAGTTGGCAGGGGGCTGGCCGGCATGGCCGGGCTCCTCATCCAACGCCTGACAGTCCCCGGACGCGCCCACCCGGACAGGCTGCAGAACCCCAGGCCCTTCTGAGAGCTGGTCTGTGTGTAGGGGCCACAGGCAGGAAGCACAGGCCTGGGCTCCCCACACACAGTGCGGACAGATCTCATTCAAGGAACAATCTCCACTAGAGAACAGTTTTGTTTCTATACTCAAACTGACACAGGGACCCGCTAAGGTGCCAAAAGGGGTCCCCACTTCAAGCACGGACCCTCCTCCACCGACAGGCAGGCATGCTGGGAAGGCCAAACAACCTGTACGGGCAGCAAGCGAGGGTGACTTCAGTTCCTCCCAAAAAGAAACTGCCAACCGAATGCCAGGCCTACGGGGGTCCTCACAGAAGTTATTTACAGATCAAGGCTCGAGATTAAATGATATGGCAAGCATGTGTTGCTCTCAGGAAAGGTGGGCTGGCAACCATAGCACTTCGGGTAAGA